AGACCTGGTCTCCAGTGCATGGCACAGGCAGGCCATACGTATCCATTTGACACCATGCCACAGAGTGCAGATAGAGGATGTTGCTCAGGGATTGCCCTTGTTCTAGGGGTTATCTCCCATCATCCTGTAGTGGGAACCACACAAAGTATGTAGTGGTCAGATGGGAGAGAAAGAGAAGTGGAGCAGCTAGAGCATTGTGAAGAGAGATGGGACTGGAGACTCGAGGGTGGAGGGGAATAGCCTGTTATGAGCGGCCAGCCATTGCACCTAGAGTCATGGTGAGGTCCCAGTCCCAGGTACTGCTGAAGGCCATGTCTGAGTCAGTGGCTACACAGCCAAGGGGCTCAGTGTTGATGTCCGTCTCTCATATTACCACTACAGGGATGTCCCTGGTCAGGGCAGATACCTGTGACCACATGGACATCTAAGAGGTGTGAATAATTGGCCCAACACCTCACTGCATGTAGTGCCCTGGAGGCCAGCCCCATTCTCACCAGCAGCAGCTCCCAGGAGAGCAGGCCCTGTGCCTCAACCAGGCAGGTAGCACAGTGGAGCTGGTCCGGGTGCCTGGAATGTGAATGAGCCAGGCCGAGGGGGTGAGTGTGTGAGAGTGGACTCTACCACTTGTTTGTTGTAGGGTGGTACAGATGCAGAAGTGATGTTCCCTGCAACCCCTTGCAACCTCTGGCAGTTTGTAAAGCTGCTTGGGAAAGCTATCTCTGGCCCTCACCACTTGTAGCACTCAGGAGAGCTGTTATGTTCCTTGCCTGGACAGAACAGCAGAGCTAACCCTCTTTGTGAGGGGCCACACATGAGTTAGCCCCTAGGGCAAGGGAGAGAGCTCAGAAGAGCTGGCCCTGCCACTTGTTTGCCATGAGGTGGCATGGGTGTTGGAGTGGTACCCTCCTCCTCTTACCTCTCACCACCTGCAGTAACTGGAAGAGCTGACCCTGGGGTCATGAAAACGGGAAAGCTAGCCGTGTCCCCTCACTGGCTGTAGCACTCTGGAAAGTGGGTCCCCCATCTTGCCTGGGCAACATTGTGGAACTAACCACAGGTAAGCCAGCCCGGAGGGTGTGAGAGTGGGAGAGCTGTTTCAGCACCCCATAGGCTTCAGCACTTAGGAGAGTGGGCCCTGAACCTGAAGTGGGCAGCACAGTGGAGGTGGCTGTGGAGGCACTGATTCTTGTGAGCCAGCCCTGAAGGCATGAGAGCAGAAGAGTTGCCCCTGCCTCCTGTTGATGGCAGCATGAAATGGCTGCCCAAAGCCAGCTTCAACAGGTCAGAAAAACTGAAGAGTGGCATGGAGTTGGAGATTAATTACTCAGCAGGCTTTCCTCTGAAGGAGCAAAACTTAATTCTCTGGGGTCACCGAAGAACTCTCTGGAGCTGGCAAAAGAGGGGGAAAGAAACACACACACACACACACACACACACACACACACACACACACAGTTGGTGGATGAAACAAGCTTCAACAAGCTCTAACAACTTAATTTTTTTCTTTTAGCCTTTTTATATCACCCAAGACAAAAGTTCTCTATGTAGAAAAAAAAGATTACCTCATAGCCACAAGTTACATATTCTCCAAAAATAATCATTTCAAGAACATATTCTTCAAGAACAGATTAAAATCATTATATAAAAGAAAATGACAACAGGATTATTGATTATATCGTCTTCTTCAGGAACACATACTTAACTAAACATTTCCCATCTCCTTTTCTCTCAACAAGCTCATTGTAACCCCACAGCAGTGACTCTTGTCATTGATTAACCAAGTTTAAGCAAATCAAGTCTGCATTAACAAGTTTTTTCTATGCTTAGCTGACAGCAATTTTATTTACCTGGAAACAGATCATCTATCTTATGTGTTAGTTTTGAAGGTTTGCTCAGCTAAATTGGTTAGTCATCTATTCTCTATCCTTATATTCATAAGAGAATTATTTACTCTTGGTTTATAATAACCTTGTCTCTTTTTGGTGCACTCCAAAATCCATGGATACATCCTTAGATTACAAGATCAAGGTACTCAGACTCAACCTAGAATGAATGCTTATATATATATATATATATATATTTTGATCATTAGATTTTCCCAAACCTATGTTTTTCCAAGTACAGTTCTGTGCTTGTAACGCTTGACAGCACACTTTGCTCTTTTTCTACCCTATGTAGCCCTTACTACTCTGCAATAAGGTCATACATTCTACGGTTCATTATAGCTTTATTATATTATTTTCTGGCAACAACAACTTAAACCATCTCCTTAAACTTTCTATCAAATACTCCAACTTTCTAAAACTTTTTAAATCATATCAGAAATTCTATAAAAATCATTATTTCATCTAAGCAATATTATTTATGAAAATTTATGAAATTTATGAAAATTCATCTTCAATGTGTACCAAAGGCCAACAATAGAAGGTTAACTGAGGTAGGCAGCAAAAGGGAGTATGGTTTTGGTTATTGGGGTCATCTGATATCAGATGGGGGACAGATGTCAGCCACAGGTGATTTATGGCGTCAGCACTAGTGAAGGAACAAAACTTAATTATGTGGGGCTGGCAAGAATGCCTAGTAAGAAACTCTTAACTCTTAACTCTTTAGTATACATACATATAGACAGACAGACATATGCATATATACATTTGGTAGATGAGTCTGAGCCCGTCAAGCCGCATACACACACATTCTGAGTGTAGTAGAAATGACTACACCAAATTTTATTATTGCTTTCAGCTTTTTATAGCTTTATATAGCTCTGGTGGTGTGGATAAAGGAGATCCTGTGGGCTGACCAACTCAACTACAACCCAGGCCCAAATCCAAGGCTCTGAATTGGCCTTCTCCAAAGTCTATATCATCTTCGAATGGTTGAGATAAGTGAAAGGGCCAATCCTGGTGTTCCAAAGCTACAGGATCTTCGTAACACAGTGCAGCAACAGGATAACTAGAAGTCCCAATGAGAATCCAATATTGACAGTGTCACAGAAGCCTGAGCTCTTGAACAGACCAATACTCACTGCAATGAACATTTGCAAGTGAAGATGTGTGGACAGACGGATATATAGTGGGACATACTACAGCTTTCACAGTGATGTTTCCTATGCTTTGTTTTTTGTTTGTTTGCTTGCATGATTTATTTTGGGGGTGATGTTCCAAGGGCGTAGGGTGGATATGAAGGGGTGGGGAGATGAGTGGGAATGGGGTGCATGATGCACAATTCGCAAAGAATCAATAAAAGGTTGAAAAAAAAGAGAGCTTCTATTTTTAAGAAGTGTTTTTATTCAATGTATCTTTCTAATTTAATAGAAAACAAAGCAAAACAACAACAACAAAAATAATGCAGAAACTGGATAGTCCAAAGACATGGAATAAAACCAAACATGACTAGTCTAAAAAAATTGCAAATTGAACGTCTTTAAAATTCGTAGCATCTGTGAGGCAAAGGATATCATCATTTGGACACAACAGTGACTTACAGAATTGGACACTGTTTCTTGCCAACTTCACTTTCAACACAGGCCTAGTAACCAAACTATATAAAGAAATCAAAGATCTACAAGTCAAACAACAACAACAACAACAACAACAACAACTAATCTAATTAAACAATGGGGTACAGATTTAGACCAGAGAATTATCAATAGAGGAAACTCAAATGGCTGGAAAATACTCAAAAAATATAAAACATTCTTCCCTATCAGGAAAATTAAAATCAAAACTACTTTTTGGGGGTTCTTTATATATTCTGGATATTAATATTTTGTCATGTATACAGTGGACTAAGACTTTCTCCTATTCTGTTCCCTTCCTTTTTGCCCTGTTGATTTTTTCTTTAGTTGTGCAAATGTTTTTAGGCTTTATGAAGTACACCTTGTCAATTGTAGGCATTAATTCTTGTACAGATAAAGTTCTATTCAGAAAGTCTTCCTACAGCTATATCATGTAGGATACTGCCTGTTTTCTTCTCAAAGTTCCTCTGCTTCAGATTGGAGGTTTAAATCTTTATTTTTCCATTTTTAATTGGATATTTTATTTATTTACATTTCAGGTGCCATCCCCTTTCCCCATTACCCCCTAGAACCCCCTTATCCCATCCCTCCTCCTTTTTGCCTTTATAACATTTTAATTACATGCAAGTATTATGCTAAAATAGGTCTGTTGGCTTCTGAAGAAAGCATATGTTCTCATTTAACCATGGTTGTGTTTTTGTGTTATTATCTTGGCATCTAGAGTTACTGCATTTGGAGCTCTTCTTATAAATTTTTGGTCTTATTTTTGTTAAGGCAGTAGTTTTACCTTTGGGTTGCTGTTACCTACTCTGGACTCTAACCATGTGTAGTGCTTTGGGATTCCTGATTTCTAGCCATGTGTGGTGGCTATGGGGCCCCGGGTACAGAACTGTTCATTAAGTCTACGTGGAGTAACAATAACAAAAGAAAATATAAGAAGAGCTAGAAGGAATGGATAAAAGACAAAACCTCAGGGGAATTTTGGGACTACCCCATGTGGCCAAGTCCCAAGGCTGGGAGGAGAGGCAGCAATTCAAAACCCTACCATTTCTTAAGACATGTTTATTATATTTAACATGTATTTTTCTTTATATTTTTGAGCAGAGTATGTGCTTCTTGCCTGTTTGTAAGTTGCACAAAATATTCATAGGTTTTAATGCCAATATTTGGTACTCATTGTAATCATACATCTAATTAAAATTTAAGTCATTTGCATAATTTCTTGAAAAATTTTAAAGTATGAAAGTAACATATTTAGAAGTTCATTCAAAAAATTCTTTGTATTTATTAATTAGGAACAAAAGCAATATACAGAATTACTTATATTCACTAGTAATATAAACTAAGACATTTTCTTATATATTTGTGAAATGACAACAGTTTTGAAGACTGAGAACATGTTTTGTTTTCACTGTGAATCAGAGCCTTATACCAAAAGGCATAGTAGAAGCTTTGAAAGATTTGGGAGAGTGGTGGATAGAGCCAGATAGAGAAGTAATTACATCTAATTACTACTACTGTTTTTTTTTTTTTTTTGCTAGGATAGATCACATTTTGATTTAGAAGCTTTAAAGAAAATTCTTTGCCTTGGTGTCTACAGTATCCCAGTTAGTTCTCAGATTAATCATCATGTATATACACACCAGCTTACACTTATGAATGGAAATGAGTTAAACAAGACTTTGAAAGTAAAGCTCTCACTGTATTGATAATATGCATGCATCTTAACTGAACAGAGGTGTATGCCTAAATTCTACTAAAACTTTTCATATTATTTTGTGCAAGTGGGATAATTGATGTAACCGTTAATGCACATTGTAGTTAATGGTTGAGACGTTGCCAGATGATGTCCACTTTTACACTTAAATTCTTGAATCTCTCCGGATTGGTAATACTGCTTTTGTTTTTCTTCCCACCTGAAAGTTATGTTACGTTTTCCCATAATTTCTATTGATATTATACATGGATCTAAAAGAAAAAATATACCATTAAATATCAATACATGAAACTTCAGAGATCCAGTTTTTAAGTAGAGTGTACTTGTTATATATTTAAGGCATTCTTTGACAAACTCTTTAAGAGACCTATAAGGACAGCACATAGAGTTAAGTAAATATAGAGCATTAAATGATATAAACGTGATGTTTAATGTGATAATTTGATCTCATCATCAAGCATTCTTAACATCAGTAACTTACCTTTAAGGGTATTCATGGTTGTCTACCTTGATTTGGGTGGTGGGCAAAGTTATACGATTTGAGGTTTGACTTATATATGGTACTCAAATCTAATGTTCAATGATATGACCATTATTAATAATATTGCAAGTAGGAACCTGACCATAATTGCCTTCACAATATTCATGATATATTCACTAAAAAGTAACTATAAATGCATCATTAATTTTATTTTGATAATTTTTAAAAAACAAATCTATTAAATAACAAAACTGGCTAAGTGACAAGAATGGTTGAAAAGCAGCTTTTCCAATCACTATCTTGGCTTACATCATATAAATATACTACATTGTCTTTAGGCATTCAACAATTTATGGGAATATAGACAATTTTCTTGTCTTAGATTCTATCAAGTAGCACTGTATAATTAACATATATTTGGAGGTTAAGTAGGCTAATTTTATTTCCTTTTCGTATATAGGAAAAGACAGGTACAGGAATGGTATATAGATTTTAAAGCAATTTCTGAATTATTCTCCATAGTAACTACACAAAATCACACCTTATTAACAGATTTCTCTACATGAGCATTTGTTATTTTAAGGTTTTTTTTTTCCATTAAGAATTCTAACTAAATGATAAAGTATCTCATTGTGACTTTGACAGGCAGTACCATGAGAAGTAATGAAATTAAGCATTATTTTCCTCACTGATATATTTATGCATTTATTTATTTTTGATAAATGTCTGTTCCTTTTGCCTCAGTTTTGTAGGGTTGCTTACATTCTAAAAATGGATTTGAATATTCTTGTGATTTCTTGCCAGGGAAAACCCCTATGTTATATATGCAAACTCCTGACAATGAATTAACTGACAATCATTTTTTCCAGTTCTACAGTCTGTCTGTTAGTTGAATTGATCCTCTTCTTTGCTATGCAGGAGCATTTCAATGATAAACTTCACTGCTAACGGTTTTCTTTTTCTTTCTCTCTCTTTTTTTTTTTGTCTGTTCTTTGGGATCCCATTCAAATAGTCAGAGTCCCAGCCTACTTAAGTGTTTTCCCTTGTAGTTACAGCACTTTTGTTCTTACATGTATGTCTTTGCTTTTTAGTTGATTTTCTTTCCCACAGAATAAAACAGGAATCAATTTAATCATCTCCACGTGTATTTTGCCTTTCCCTGTATTATTTATTGAAGATGCTACCCTTTTCCCCAATGTATGTTTTTGAAACTCTACCAAGATCAATTACCTATAGATGCATAGATCAATTTCTCCAAAATACATTCCCTTTCTGTGCATCAGTTTTATCCCAGTGCCAGAATCCTCTGGTTACTGTAGCTAGCTACTGGTGTACCTTGAAATAAGGTATTATAATAGCTCCAGATTTTTTCCGCTATGTTTAAATTCCTTTTACTTGTACTGATTTTATTGTACTTCCATACAAATTTTAGATTTATTTTTTATATTGTATGAAATATGTTTCCCATATTTTAATAGAGTTTCATAGTCTGCTAGTTGCATTGGGAAACATGAACATTTTAATATTAATTTTCCCAATCCTGTAATACAGATTTCTCAATTTTAATTTTGTGAAATCCTTTCATCAATAAACTTTAGCACTCAGAAGTCATTAAGTTCTTTTGAATTTATAGGTAGATTATTTTTAATTACTGTGAATGAGATTGTTTTATTGTTACTTCTCATAAAATTAGAATTAATATACAGAACAAAGCTAGTTTTGTATATTGATACCCATTTAGATTCTTAATCAGATTTGTTTTAAGTTCTTAAATTTGAGTACCTCTTTGGAGGTACTATAGATTACCACATATGGCAATCTATACACTCAAAATGAGTTGACTTCAGCCTTCATATTGGAATATTGACTTTCCCAGGATCTATAAGAACAAGTTACTTACGTAAACATTTTGGTGGCTCTGACCACTCTCCACTTATACATATTATTGTCTTGTTGCCTTGCAATTTGTATAAAGACTGGCATTGATATTCAACTGATGATGGTGGTATATATACTGGTAGTGGGAAGGATGTGATGTCTCCATTCTCAATAGGTGGAGGGGGACCACATATCTTTGTTGAATCTAAAAAGACAACATTTGAAATTTTGAAAGGTCAAGTCAAAGTATTGGTTTAAAAAGATCCAATAAACATACAGTGCTAAACGTAAGGTCAAGACTTTAATGATTTCATGCTGCAATATAGACTGCTTGAAGAAATTTTAATCATATAAGCTGATAGTTAAAGGTCAAGCTCTTTCTCCATTCTCATTTAAAGCACTTACTCAACCAGAGCAAGCATGTCTGCTCTGAAGCCTTCCAGTGATAGATGTCTTATCAGCTGCTGAACAGATAAATGTCAGTGTAGACAGGTAGTTTCTTCGTTTTTAAGACATTAAAGTATTTACTGATTCTTTCTACACATTTTCTTGTTCTTGTCATTTTTTTTTGTAGAAATACAAATTTATTGACAAGAGATAAATTAGACTCCCTGGCTTCCTGATAGGGTCAAGGTGAGTATGGGCACCTATATATTATACTTGTACTTCTGGCTACCTGGAAGTAGGTGGAACCACCTTAGCTGTCTGGAAGAGCTTCAGAACAATGGAGTCAGTTGTAAGAGACATTATCATAAATATTGAGCTATCTCTATGATGGGTAGGGTTTGGTGATGCAACTGTCTTTGAGTCATTTCTGTTCTTATAAATAAACCGTCACCTATATTTCTATAAGTAACTTCAATACAACTAGTGTTTTACCACATCGGACTTTGGTGGTATTTGTATATTGGTGTGCTCTAGGCATATTATATGGTTTGAGTAAATGTTTGTGTATCATCTCAACAGGAATTTTTTTTCATATAACAGTATTGTATATAAATAATTTCATATTAATTTTCATCTCATTTATATAATGCTAGACCTGACCCTAAGACCATAGCTTGGCCAAGTTTTGTCCCAATGAACTAATACTCTCATCCTTGCATTTATTTTAGCATTATACTGTAGAAAGTTCTGATTTGATAACATTGCAGTTTTTATTCTCAGTAAAAGTAATGATTTTCATTTGTTTAGTTTGATATTATTATTTGGTGTTTATGCATTTCCTCTTTGTTTGTGATGTCTTCCTGTGTAACCCAGACTTATCTGGAATTAGAGGCCTTATGCTTCTTTATCCCAAGTGCTAAGATTATATGTCTGTGCCACTCTGCTAGTTGACATCCTTAATGAATTAAATTTGTGTATATCCTTGAGATGAAAATCAAGTTTCTCAGTCGCTGCTATTATTCTTTCAATTTGTCTGCACTACAAATCGTCTTTCATCGTCCTTCGTCACATTGTTCAAGTTTGCATGATCTCATTTTATACTACAGATTATAATTTTAGTAATATGTAATTTAATTAAAAAATTAAGAGCTTGTATTTGTGATACTAAAAACAATTATGGCCAAATAAGATATATATCACACCTGATGAATGTATTATTTAAAAAATAGATTATCAAGCCAGTGAGAAGAGTTACTCAATGACAGTTCTTGCCTCTAAGCCTGGTGACCTGAGTTCAATGTTAAGGACTCCATGATGAACAGAGTGAGCTATCTCTCACAAGCATCTGGCATCTGACATCTGTATGTGCAACGTGGTTTACACACATCCACAAACACACACATGCATGCAAATATGCACAGAATAAATTAATATATTAAAGTAATACAGACAAGTATTATCATCTTTGTCCTTCAAAAATCTTCTTCATAGTCTATTTTTCTTAGTTTATATTAAATCTGATAGAAGATTCTGAGAAATTTAATTTTTTAAGTTAAACATAAATATTTAATTTTCTTCTGTGAGCAAAATTGTAGAGACAACAGTACTCACCATAACATGAGGGCTTATCAGACCATTCATCATGAGTACAAGTTATCGAGCCTTCGGTATGATTATATTTGTTTACGTATCCAACTTGACATTCATAGTCTAATTTGTCATTGAGTTTAAACCATGTGCTATCATTCTTAGTTCCAGCATTTTCAAACACAGGTATATCACACGACTCTAATGTAAAATAAAATAGAAGATTTAATTTCTAATGTGTCGTTGAATAATCTGAATAATTCTCATATCAAGATAAAAGGTATTATAGGTTAATGTATTCTAACATTGAATTCTGCATAAAATCCTTCTATGAAATCCAACCAAAGACTTCTCTCTCTCTCTCTCTCTCTCTCTCTCTCTCTCTCTCTCTCTCTGCCACCCTCCTGGCTCCCCTCCCCATGCCCTGAATACACTCTATTCTATGCTATAAAAAAAGAAAGATATCCAACCAAAACAGTTATTAAAATGAAAAAGGTTTCTATATAGCATTTATCTCTTCACTTAAGCTTCAAAATTTAAAAATAATTTCACAGGTCAAATTTACTCATATTTATGACATGATACAAATAAATAGACAAGTTAAGATGTACATTATATTTTTAGGAAAGCATGATAGCATTTTTGTGTCCCATATTTAGTCCCATATTTAGTAAGTTCCCCCCAATAAAGTCCCATATTTAGTAGTTAACATGAAATATAGAATTCAGAAAAGTAGATTAGCTTAATATTACAATAATTCATTGTAGTATATCAAGGGTTTTCTTTTTACCAATAAAAATCCAATGTAGGCTTATTATTTATAATTTAATATAAATGAATATTACATGGGAATAATTTTAATCACTTTTCTTTAATAGTATCCTGTAAAAGCATGATGAATGAAAAATAAAAATTAAAAAAGCAATGAATTCTTTGAAGAGTCTTTTTCTTTAAATTATGTTGAATAGTTCTTGAACAATATCACTTGCTAGCTTTCTAATAAGTATGATAAGATTTTATAACTAATAATATAGGTAAGATATTGATAGATGCTCACATGATGAAAAGAATGAGGTGACTCTTAAAAGCATTTGACATCTATGTGGTCAAATGTGGTGAACATATATCCATAAACACATACATGCATGCAAATATACACAGGATTAATAAATACAATGAAATAATAGAAACAAATATTATCCATTTTGGGCATACGCAGTAGCTGGAACCAGCGTAGCTGTTGGGAACAGCTTCAGACCAATGGAATCAGTTGGAAGAGACATTCTCCAACATGTTGAGCCTTCTGCAGGCTGTGTCGTGTGCCAGCTACTTCCAGGCAACTGGTGGCAAAAGTATAATATATAGGTGTCCATGCTCACCTTGACCTTATCAGGAAACTAGAGGGCTCAATTTACCTCTAGTCAATAAATGTGTGTTTGTACAAAAAAGAATGACAATGAAAATCAAGATATGTGATAGAGGAACAGCAAATACTCCAGTGACTTGAAAATAAAGAAACTCTGCCTGCCTGTGTTGAAATTTATATAGATAAGAACTAACCAATGAATAAGATAAAGATTAAGAACTAATTATTCTTAGAAAACTTTCATTAGTTCTTAAAACAAAGGAAATATTCTTTCTTTTTTTTAAAGATTGATCTATTCATTTTATGTACATGAGTACAACTGTCACTGTCTTCGGACACACCAGAAGAGGGCATCGGATCCCATTACAGATGGTTGTGAGCCACCATGTGGATGCTGGGAACCAGGGCCTCTGGAAGAGCAGTCAGTGCTCTTTACTGCTGAGACATCTCTCCAGCACACCACTTACTCTTAAATTCTTTCTAATGATTATTATTTCAACACAGCCTATTCCATTACTTAAGTACCAGTGGAATTTTGTTGATTAAATTTGGATTACCCTCATATATTTAACACTTTCAATATGCCATTTTAAAAGAATCTATCTTCTTGCCTTGAGTACCTCAAATTCTGTATTCGCAACTTTGCATTCTGATTTTCTCTAAGTACTTTCTATCTTCCCATCTCTGTATTACCAATCTTGGGCAGTAGTTCTTGTAGCTGAGACTTGCTTATGTATCTTTATTTAGTTTCATCTATATGCTAATAACTCTCCAACCCATCTGTCAATCTCTGCTACTATCCTGGCTTCAGCCTTGTTTAGTCAGCTGCCACCTTATCTCTTTCAATATTGTGAAGGCATCTCAAATTAAGATTATATAAAACTAAACTTACCCCTTATTTCCTAAAACTACTATTCCTACATGAAAAAATGATAATTGGAATATAAATTTTGATCAAAACCACAGAAATTTCCTACTATCTGAAAATATTTTTTCTTTCCAATATCAAGATATGTGGAAAGATTTCCTAAGAGGGCAACATTCAGAAATGGACTTTTAACCTGGGGACAGGTCACTATGACTCTGCCTATGATTCACTTGTCCTTATCTAAGTTGGTACTATCCACCAAGGCTACCTATTTACAAGGTCTATGACTACTCAGGCTGGTAAATTTCCACAAAAGCTGCCTGTTGACATTAGCTTATAGCCATCTATTTCAATGTTTTTTCACAGAGACCCAAGACTTGGTGTTAGTATACATGTATGACAGGTCTATTGCTGATTTTAGGCCTATGGCTGATTTTAGGCCTTCAGTGTATAAGCAGGACTGCCCCTGACATCTCCTTTCTTCTATAAATATAGAAGGGCTGTGGTGATTCTAATCTTTCGAAGGCGGAGATAGAGGCCTGACCTCCAGTAATTGAAGGGGACCTTGTAATGGCTCTGGTCCCCCTGTCGTCCTTCACCCAGCCAATAGCCTGTTATGAGAGATATCTGTAGCCCCCTGAACACTCATGCTCCAGTGTCATCCCCTTCCCCACATCCTGCCTTTTTGTGTTGTAACCCCTGTGTGAATAAGTAAAAATTATGATTTGATTTAAAAATAAAAATAAAAAAGTTATCACATATTCTAGGATTTAAAACATGGACATGCATCTTAGCTAAACATTTCACCTTTACCTTTGGGAACAAGGCTTTAATATGCATGCAGAACACCTTTAAAAATGTCAGCTGGTCAAAGAATCCTTTAAGATCTAAAATTATGCTGGGCAGTGGTGGCCCACGCCTTTAATCCCAACACTTGGGAAGCAGAGGCAGGCAGACTTTTGAGTTCGAGGCCAGCCTCGTCTACAGAGTGAGTTCCAGGACAGCCAGGGCTACACAGAGAAACCGTGTCTCGAAAAACCAAAACAAACAAACAAAAAACAAAAACAACAACAACAACAAACCCTAAAATTATATGATATTTTAAAGCATTAGAAGGGAAGGCATAAGTCCAAAGAAAACAAATACTGGTGTAAAAAATTTAAATTTAAAACTTACCTTTCAAATGAAACAACATCATCCTCATAAAAGGAGAATAAAACTTTTATACATCAGTAATATAATGGGAGTAATACAATGACGTACTCACTAATGCATGAGGCTTGAACTGCCCATCTATTTTTCAGGCAGCCAATTGATACTGATGATTCTCTACTTGCTTCTACATATCTCTAGTTACACCTATACTGTGCTTTCTTATTAAGAGCATGCATGTAAAATTATATTCAGAAAGAAATCCATTCTCAATTTCTATATTTGACTTTGAACACGTCTCAAAATGGAAAAGAGTGAGAAAAAGGTCAATGTATGCTTAGACCATGCTTGGCTTAGGAGCTACCATAGAATACTATAAAAATAGCCATTAGTCCTTTGTGCACAGACATGGAATAATAAAAATCATTCACATTGCTGGGCAAAAATACAACCCCTGTCTACAAAAACAAATTGTAGGTTTAAAGATATACAATGATCTTCTGCTGTGAATTTTTTCTAACAAAGCAATATTTAAACCATTCATAATTTTTTGTAAAAATGTATTAGATATTTTCAAGTAAATAGTCCTATAGAAGATCAGAACACACACACATGCACACACACACACATATAACACATACATCACACACACATATATATGTGAGTGATATATATACATATATATGTATATATATATATATATGTATGCTATATATATGTGTGTGTGCATATGTGAAAATAAATTGATTCCCTTACAAACAGATTCATTTATCCAATTAGGGTTTTAGGAGTTGAGTGATAATCTCAGAAAATTTATCCACATAAGTGGTACAAACTTCAGTATGGCAAAATTTGAAAACTCATTATAAGTGCATGCCTAAAATAAAGTAGATGTTAAGGTTCAAAGAAGATCAGAAGAAACAATAAATTTATTGAATCTTCTTATGCCACAATGATGATTCCTCAATTCCTGTGCAACTGAACATGAAAGTGTACTAGTAAATCTCTCAGTTATATTTTCCATCAGCTGGATAATAAATATTTCATTATGAATTGTACAAAATAAAAGTAAATTGCATGAAAAATTAACTTACAAAAGAAATTGTAAAAGTAGACTTTTTTCAGTTAATCAATTTCATTATAATACACAAATTGCTTCATTAGGAATGAGTAGGAAATCAAATAAGAAAAGATTAAATATTTTATGTAAATCTCAAAGAAAATATTAGACAAAATATTGTGTGGAAGCACTAAGTAGTAAAGAGACAAGAACACTATCACACAGCTGGAAAAGAATAAATAATAAAATTCAGTAAAGAATAAAATTCAGTATGTGTATTTACTTTGTTAACTTGGAAAAGCAAGTAAATATTAACACAATCACAAATTGTGAAAACCTAAAACGATGAACTGAAATCAAGCAGAAACCAAATAAGGGAAAGGTACAGTGTGGCAGTGGGGTTGGCCTAATTCAAACTAATTTGCCTAGCTAGATAGAACAGTTCTTTTTTTTTCCAGTTAAATGTTCAACATCTTTAGTCATCAGAGAAATGCAAATCAAAACAACCTGGAGATTCCACTTCACACAAGTCAAAATGGCTAAGATTAAAAACTCAGATGACAGCAGATGCTGGCAAGGATGTGGAGAAAGAGGAACACTCCTCCATTGTTGGTGGAATTGTAAGCTTGTACAACCACCCTGGAAATCAGTCTGGCGGTTCCTCAGAAAATTGGACATAGTATTACCTGTGGACCCAGTGATACCACTCCTGGGCATATACCCAGAAGATGCTCTAACATATAATTAGGACATAT